ACCGACTTAGGGCCCCACCTCACGTGCCTGCTTGCGCAGTCCCACGAAAATGCGAATATCTCTCTATTCTGAAGTCGTATGAACGAATGGTTTGATGCGTTGGAAACTAGACTCGTAGACCTTCGATTTCATAGCTTACGGGGACCATAACTCTTAATAGATTGGGAGAAAACGTCCGAGACATTTGACCCAAATTTCAGACAAATCTTTAAAAAGGAATTTACGGTAACTTTCACCAACTTTTATTTGTCACTTACCTAACTTCAAAACTTGAGATACCACACTTGAACACTTAAAATATCACATAATACATCACTTTTAATTTATTACTCACCCTCCTTGTCTTTCCACGAAGATACGAGTTAATTTAGACGTTTTGAAAAGTCGGGGTGTTACAACACCCATCCCTCTTCTTCATCAAATTCTCCAATATCAATTATTAAATTTTTATTGATACTACTCAGTTTCTGTTGAAGTGAATTCGGTTAAATTTTATTTTTCTCTTTGGAGAGAAATTTTTGAAATACAAATCAGTATAGAATACAACTTTTGTTTAGATCAAAAGTTAAAAATAAAAGAGAATAATTAATTTGATGCACAATTAAGAAACGACTTTAGAATACAATTTTTGAAATACAAAATCCAGTTTAGAATACAACTTTTTTTGTTTAATCAAAAGTTAAAATGAAACTATATGAGTACAAATAATTGATGTACAATATACAAAATACATTTATTTTGAATACATATATAGTTGATAATTGAACTTGAACATAACATACAAAAAGAATGATTTGAATGATCATGAATACAATACAATATGTTAAAATAAATACAATATTACTGAAAAATACAATTAAAATGTAAAGAATACAACAAACATATTAATTAGTATGAATACAATTTTTAGTAAGAATATATATCATTTATTTCACTTATAATTTCATTCAAACAAATGCAATGTTTTGAAAATATAATTGACATATGAAAAATACAACTAACAATACTAATATGAACACAATTAAATAGTAGTGAGGTTATTAAAAATATAGACCCAAAAGAAAATTTACTAAATAAACAATTTTATATTGAAACACAAAAATGCATAAAAGACTCAAAATATACAAATCAAAACTAAAAAGTACTGATATGAACTTAATAAATACAAACTCAATAAGAATTTATCCGATCAAATGATAATCTAATGCATATATACTGAGATGAACTTAATAAATACAAACCCAATAAGCAGTTATCCGATCAAATGAAAATTTGATGCATATCTTTTGTATAATTCCTTTTCATTTTGAAAGAAAAAGAGAAAAAAAGAAAGAATCTAAACGGAGAGAGAGGAATAAAAATAATG